ATGTCTCTTAGCTTCAAACTTATTGCCTAGTCTTCAAACTAACTAAATCAATTACTAACAAGATCATTCATGGACCTGAGAGAGCATCAATTACCTTCTGTAACCGTAGCTACTTATGGTGGCACCGCAATTAAACACCAAAACTTCCTTTGGTTCCTTCTTGTTTCTCCCTCTGTCTCTCGCTCTCTTTCTCCTTCCTTGTTTTTCTTTCTTTTTTTTTTGTTTGGTTTCTGTTTTGGTTTTAATCCTTATCCTCGCGAATCCATTTGGCTTGCCATCTTATAGTAATGAGACAATTAAAAGTTCTTTTAGTCGGTTAACCGGAGCCTTCTTAAGTCAGTGTATCTTTTAAGCTTTTATTTTGGTCTCCTTTCTAGGCTTATGTTCCATGCACAAGTTGGACAATGGGTAGCAGCAAATTAAGGTAAAGAGGCCAGCTCATGCTTAGTTTTCTACGTATATAAATTGATTATTATCTAAAAGCTTCTTGTGAGTTCTATTTAGTACTCCAAGCTTCAAGATGAACTCAATTTTGTCCGAGTCTACATACATTTCTATTAGTAATACTTACTCCACTTCTTTTTCTATTTTTTTTTTCGGCATTCTCAAAAAAAATTGTCCTAGTTTATCAAATGTGTCCATTTCAATTTTCTTGGCATCTATTAACCTAAAAGTATTAAATTTTCCTGTTTCTATTGTTGTTTTATTTATTTGTAAGTTTAATGCTAACCTAACTAGCTTTCAATTTAATACAATTTTTATTATCTATCATGCTACTTGGGAACTATATGAAATATCAAGTAGGTTAAATCTCACAGCCGTCACATCCTTTCCCCCTTAAAAGAATTTCGTCCTCGGAATTCGTACCCGATTCGTGAAAAAGCTCTGGGTACTTTATCTTCATATCAGCTTTAGGTTCCCACGTTGCTTCTGTTACATCATGATGCTTCCAGAGTACTTTGACAAGCGGGATTGTCTTCGTACGTAATTCTTTGATTTTGCGATCAAGAATCTTTATTGGTTTTTCTTCATATACTAAGTTCTCGCCCACCTCAAGGTCTTCATATTGGATAATGTGGTTGGGGTCGGGATGATACTTCTTAAGTAGAGATACATGAAACACGTTATGCATTTTGGAGAGGTGGGGTGGAAGTTCAAGTTGGTACGCAACTTTTCCGATCCTTTTGGTTATATCAAACGGTCCCACATATCTCAGACTCAACTTACCTTTCTTTCCATGTTTAACAATTCCCTTCTGAGGTGATATCTTTAGAAACACTTTGTCACCGACCTCGAACTCCAGATTCTTTCGGCGGTTATCTGGATAACTCTTTTGTCGACTCTGTGCAGTTCGTAGTTGCTGACGAATCATCCGCACCTTTTGATACGCCTCCTCGACCCATGGTATATGATCCGGTTGCATAATTTTCCTTTCGCCAAGTTCATCCCAGTGTAACGGGGTACGACACTTCCGACCATATAGTGCCTCCTACGGTGCCATCCCAATGGAAGAATGATAACTATTATTATAGGCAAACTCTACCAATGTAAGGTATTGGTTCCAATTACCTCCAAAATCAAGAATGCACGTACGGAGCATGTCTTCAAGAGTTTGGATTGTTCGCTCTGATTGGCCATCTGTTTGAGGGTGCGCTGCAGTGCTAAAGTTTAATTTGGTACCTAAACTCTGTTGCAACTGTTGCCAGAGATGAGAAGTGAAACGAGGATCTCGATCAGAAACTATGGTAACTGGCACGCCGTGTAGCCTCACCACTTCATCTATGTAAATCTGGGTTAATTTTTCCAACGAATATCTCATGTTCACTGGTAGATAATGAGCAGACTTGGTTAATCGGTCAACAATTACCCAAATCGCATCACAACCCTTAGATGTTCAAGGTAATCCACAAACAAAATCCATAGTGATATGCTCCCACTTCCATTCAGGTATATCCAATGGCTGCAATAGTCCGGAGGGTTGTTGATGTTCCAATTTCACCTGCTAACAGGTAAGACATGTCGCAACATATTGAGCAATATCTTTCTTCATGTTACCCCAATGATAATATGGCTTCAAGTCCCTATACATCTTGTTGTTCCCTGGATGGGCTGTATAGGTGGATCGATGTGCTTCCTCAAGGATCGCTTTCTTCAATTCAGAACTTTGGGGTACACACACACGATTTTGAAATTTCAAGATTCCATCAAGTCCTAGCGCATAGTTAGGTAACTCTCCCATCTCAACTCGCTTGCGTAGTTGTTGCAAAGTTGGATCTTGTTCTTGGGCCTCTTTAAGTTGAAGTAGTAATGTTGGACGAACTGCAATATTGGAACATGTAACCCTCTCTCGGGCTTGTATCTGGTTCCAACCATTGACATATTCGAGCATCTCCATCTTCTGAGCCATTAACCTTGCTACTTGAACTTTTCTACTTAGAGCATTGGCTACCACATTAGCTTTTCCAGGATGATAATTTATCTTACAATCGTAATCTTCCAAAAATTCGATCCATCTGCACTGACGTAGGTTCAACTCCTTCTGTGAAAAAAGATGCTTAAGGATCTTGTGATCAGTGTAGATATCAAAAGTAGCTCCATATAAGTAATGTCACCATTTCTTCAACGCAAATACTACTGCCGCAAGCTCAAGATCATGAGTTGGATAATTCTGCTCATACGGTTTTAGTTTCCTAGAACCAAATGCGATCACTTTCTCATTCTGCATTAATACACATCCAAGTCCTTCCTTTGAAGCATCGGTGTATACCATAAAATTTCCTTTCTCACTCGGGAGGGCAAGGATTGGTGCCGTTGTGAGCCGCCATTTTAGCTCTTGAAAACTAGCTTCGGTTCAATCATCCCACAAAACTTGACCTGCTTTTGTGTTAAACTTGTTAATGGTGCAACCAATTTAGAGAAACCAGGGACAAACCTTCGGTAATATCCTGCTAGACCCAAAAAGCTACGTATCTCCGTTGGAGTCTCAGGTCGCTTCCACGTAAGGATGGCCTCGATCTTAGATGGGTCAACAGTGATACCATCTCGTGAAATAACATGGCCTAAAAAGGACACCTTTTCTAGCCAAAATTCGCACTTACTAAACTTAGCATACAACTTATGTGCTCTTAAAGTTTGAAGTACTATCCTTAGATGTTCTTTATGTTCAGTAGGTGTCTTAGAGTATACCAAAATATCGTCAATAAAGATTACCACAAACTGATCCAGATATGGCTGGAAGACTCGGTGCATTAAATCCATAAAAGCTGCAGGCGCGTTGGTCAATCCAAATGGCATGACAACAAACTTATAATGACCATAACGGGTGTTGAATGCTGTCTTAGGTACGTCTTCTTTCTTGATTCGTAACTGATAGTATCCTTGTCTCAAATCTAGTTTTGAGAACACTGTCGCACCATGAAGTTGATCGAAAAGTTCATCAATCAACGGTAATGGATACTTATTTTTGATGGTTACGCTATTTAACCCTCGGTAATCGATGCATAACCTCAACGTCCCATCTTTCTTTTTAACAAATAAAACAGGAGCTCCCCAAGGTGACGTACTAGGTTGAATGAATCCTCGGGACAACAAATCTTGAAGCTGGATTTTAAGTTCCTTAAGTTCTATTGGGGCCATACAGTAAGGAGTTCGGGAAATTGTGGTCGCACTAGGGGCTAAATCTATAACAAATGCAATTTCCCTATCAGGTGGTAACGATGTCAGCTCATCTGTGAATACGTCAGAAAATTCTTGAACAATTGGTACTTCTTGTAGTTTCAGTTTATCCTGAGGTTTATTTATGATATATGCTAGACATCCTGTTGCCCCTTTCCAAAGCAACCTCCTAGCGTGAGCTGCAGAAATTATACCCCCATTCTTTGATTTTCCTTTTAGGCAAACGTGCAAAATGTCCTCCCCGGGAATACAAAATTTTACTTCCTTGGTCCGACAATCTAATTGAGCATGATACTGTGACAACCAATCCATCCCTAGTATGACATCATAATCTTGTATAGGTAACAGGATTAGATTGGCTGGAAATTTCTTCTCCTGAACTTCTACCTCACAGTCCTGGTATAACGTGTCGGTAAGGATTCTTTTACTTGATGTGGGGGTACCAACCTCTAGATAGTAGGGTAATTGTTTTGTCCCAATATTGCATTTTTTCATAAAGGTTGGTGCAACAAAAGAATGAGTAGAACCAGGATCAATCAGAACGGTAGCTAATTGATGGAGAACAAGAAGCGTACCTTCGACAACATCGTTAGGCTCTGGTTCATCCCGCTTTTCTAAAGCAAAGACTCGTGCAGGGACTCGGGGTTTACGAGTCTCCCCTTCGGGCTTCTTTAGGGGTGGGGCAGCTTCAGCTTGGGAACTCGGTCCTGATTTATCACGAATCTTTGGGCATTCACGAGGGTAATGCTCAGTACTCCCACAACCGAAACACCTCCGTTGTTTAAACAAGCAGTCTTTCTCGAGGTGACCAGGTTTATGGCAGAAAAAACAAGTTGGCACCGCGTTTGATCCAGATTGAACTCTGACAGTTGGTTTGGAAGGAACCATTCGTTTTCCTGGAGGAATTCCTGGTCGTTTCGAAGGGATATTTCCTCTAGTTTTTAGCCACGCATTCGTATTAGACCGCTTCTGGTTGTGGAAGTTTCGAAGCTTAGCCTGACTACCCTCCACTTTTTGGGCAGCCTCAAACATTTCCTCGAAAGACTCATATTTGGTAGCGGACAGTGAGGCTTGAATCTCCAAATTAAGGCCCTGTTCAAATCTCTGTCGTCATTCCTCATCTGTCTCGACCAACTTTGGAGCAAACCTTGACAACTTGGTAAAGGTAGCTTCATATTCAAGTACAGTAGCAGTGTTTTGGCGAAGGTTGATGAATTCCTCTTGCTTACGTTTGAGCACAATAGCAGATATATACTTAGCAGTGAATTCTTTGACAAAGTTGGCCCAGGTATAAGGCACATGGTCTCGATCCCATCAGAGTTTGATTAACCTCCATAAGCTTTGGCTGCTGCCTCCAATCGATACAGTGCAAATGTAACTTGACGTTCTTCGGAGTACTTGAGAGCGTCAAATATTTCAGTTATGGTCTCTAACCACAATTCTGCTTTCTCATAGTTTGGTTCTCCATTGAATTTTGGAGGGTTGAACTTGTGGAAGCGTTCTAACGCCACATCTTCACCTTGTCCAGCGTTCTGTGGTTGCCCCTGTGGCGGTGGTGTCATTGCCCCCATTTGCTCGTAATACTTTCTCATTTGCTCAAAGGCACGAGTCATCTCCAGCGTCATATTGCCAATTCTAGCTACAGGCTCAGGTCGTGTTTCTGCAGGCTTCGACTGGGTATGTTCTTCCATTTTCTACATATATTTCTAAGGTTGTTAAAATTGAAAAACGCTGCAAACTGAAGGGAGATGTATAACAGAAAATTAAAGGAGGATCAATATAAGGGGAAACACTACTCAGATAAAATAGCAAGCCATATTTACATGGATATTTAACAACCAAGCTTTTCTCCTACAACTTAAGACCTAGACAGTTTGCCAGCTAAACTGCACAAGCTTTTCTCCTGCATATTGCCAGCTAAACCAAAAGATCCCTATAACTAACACCCAAAGAAAGCCAAAAGAACTGGCAAACTTGCGCACTACATAAAACATAGCCCTAATGATATCACTCAACCATCGCTTCAGAACCCTCGATGGCCTCCACGTGACTACGAGAAGCTTGGAGAAGGGTATCGGCACATGCAAGCACACACTCTCTATAGTGCTGAAACTCAACACGTGCGGATTGTATTTCTGCATGTGCTAATTGCAGCTCTGCGCGCAATTGGTTGAGCTCCTGATTTTTGCGTACAATCTGCTCCTCCGCCTTAGCCCGCGCATCCCATTCCCTATCCTCAGCATGTCTGGCACGCAACTCCATTTCCTACATCCGCTCCAACTGATGGCGGCGTACCTCAACAACTTGTTCCACACGCTCAAGGAGATCATCCCTTTCCCTAGGTACGGCCTTCACTACATGATTTGGGTATGAATGGGTCTCAAGGTGTCGGCACATACGTGAACGACTTCCCTAGTAAGGAATGTAGGTTAAGTACCTAGATCCCTCCCGACGCTTAAAGTGGATAGCTGGTGCTCGCTCCATGAGATCCTACCAGGAATGGAGAAAGGTCAGTACTTTCCATATGAAAACATAACTTAACTTAAAAGTATTTTCTACCCACCTGTTAGACCATAAACTTGTCGTATATTCTAGGCCAAGCTCTATAAATACGTTTCAATTAGGATACCACCTAAATAGAACTATTTAATAAGCATATTCACTAAAAGTTTCAAAACCATGGTGATAACATATAAAATCACATACATGTACTAACTACATAGTATTTTACATAAATTACTCACAACCACACCTCTCCAACTACCAACATACAAAGCGACTAGTTTCCCCAACTTATTTACATAAGTGGAAGGACACTATATTACAACAAAAGGGTCCTTATTGATTATTTAAAACGAAGTCAATAGTAGTTGACCCCTAATACACACGTTCAGGTCTAGTGGCTCTATTAACCTACTTGGCTACTGATTCAGTAATGTTTTCCACGCGCTCTTGCTCATCTCTGGAGGTTGCCTTCCGTCCTTCGTGAGATTCAATACAGTCGCAGGCCACTTCCATTGCTGCACTGGAGCTTGTCGCTTCATCGGTCGGGAAAGCTCGAGACTCCAGGCATGCCTGATACAATTCTTTACGCAACTGGTAGATTTGGTGATCTTTCGCCTCTATCTCACGGTCTTTGAGTTCTATCTCGTAATTCCTACGCTTGAGTTGCTGATTTTTATACGTCATTTGCTCGTCCCAATCTGCTATCCAGGTCAACATTTCCCTCTCCCGATATTCAGCAGCCTTAGCCCCTTGTTCCAAATTCCTTACACGCTCCCGTTGCTGCTCCTGTGTATGTAGGTCACGTTCTTCTCGACGTCGGAGCTGATCTCTTTCACGAACAACCGCATGTACCACATGGTTTGGGTAGGAATGGGTTACGAAGTGTTGGCACATGTTTCCTCGTACTACATAGGGTGCCCAAAGGCGACGCCTTGCTCCTTCGCGACGCTGATAGCGTATAACATGTGCACGCTCCATGAAATCCTACAATGGAGTAGCAGTCAGTAGCCCAAGTCGATATTACTTACTTAATACCTACACAGGTACCAACTCGATCTCTAACCGCGCTCTGATACCACCTGTGACGACCCTGACTAGAGCCACCTAGGTTTACCCAACTAAATGGTCTAGTTAAGGCGTCCACCTATCTCGCGCTAAGATTCGTTTATCAATTAATTATTAAAACCCGCAAACTTTATATCACATAAAGGTACAAAGGTAACATTATTACAAAGCTCAAACGTGAGCTTGAGTTATGTTTCTCGTCAAAAGGGTTATATTACACACTCGTAACTTAACACAAACTGGCTAGCGAACTATTTACATTGAACACCGTCTCAAGAACCGATCATTTCGTAGCTTGGCTAAATTTCCATCGCGCTCGGACCTGGGAGTGGGTTAGGGGAATAAAATATAAAAGAGGTGAGCGCCGAGCTCAGTGAGGTTCTCACTATACTACTACGATACTTTTAATAACACTCTTTTTGAAAAGCAATATTCAAATATAAAATGATTCACATAGAAACATTCAATAATCAACTATTTCACATTAAGCAATCAACAATAGGGTGGATACAGAGAAACCTTAGTAAGGGCCGTCAAAGAGCCTACGGGGCACAGAGACGGACTCCAAGCCAGATTTCAACGATACGATAGCGTCCATCCAGACAACACGATAACGATTCAACAATACAATAACGATTCAATAACAATTCCTCTCCAACACCTCGTGGCCACCATTGGATACTCATGAGTTCCGCGTCCATACGGACAACACGATAAGCCTAGGTAAGCTAACCTGGCGACCAAGCCCGATGCCGGCCCGCAAGGCTTCGCCTAACAAAGGCAGGGCCCAGGCTCTAAGTGAACAGAGTCCACCGAAGCAACAATCACACATTATTGCATAACAATCAATCAATAGCAACAATAGTTGTCCTGATGTGATAAAGTACATCACCAGAAGCAACACATTCAACGATCATATTCAATCAAGTACGTTCAATCACATAACGATCTCATTTTGTCTCAGATACGATAACACTCAGAATACACATAGAACACATATCCCAGGGCGATAAAGTATACCTCCGGGTCATTTATCAATAACATTTAAAAATGTGCTCCAGGGTGTAGTGACTTTCAAATATATATTCCCATACTCCCAGTTTTTAAAAGAGTAAGAATCACTCACCGTATTATTAAGACCTTTTTGAACCTTCGGGTCCTCCCTCTGCAAGCGAGTGTAACGGTGTTGTAGTATTAGAACTAAATCGACACAACTGAAATACTATAATGTTAAGTGAATTTGCTCAAATATATGTACTATATACTTCCTACTTGTTTCCCTCTTGTATTAATATTATTATTATTGATCTTACTATTAAGGTTAGTTTAGACTTGCTAACTGGACCAAGCATATGTGTCCTTTTCTTTTAAAGTCTAGTACGTATGTAGAAGTAGTACTAATTTAAGTTTAGATTACTAAGTTTTAACTAATTAAATCTGATCCAAGGGAATTTCTTTCATTACGGTCCAATTTCTTTTCTTCTACTTACCTTTTATTCTACTTATTATTATTCTTTTAATCCTTTAACGAGAAGGTAGATTTAATTCTTAATATAGTAGCTAAAACTTCCAAGTACATCACGAATGGAGAGAGTTGAATCTTGTTTCCTTGGTTCTTATTCGGTTTCAAACGACACAAAATCGTTTCCGAAATTCAAGTCACAAGAACACAATAATTCGCCCCTATTTGGCGCCTTTCAAGTTTGGATTCTAACTTCACAACCTGAACCACATATTTATTTGTAATCTTCGAACCCAACCCTTGATCATCTAAGCAACTAGAATTTATAAAGATAATAACAAGCCGCCTCAAACAACAAGGATTTAACGTTCATTTTAATAGAGTAAAATATAAACCCGAGAGAGAGAGGGAGAGCATGTCTCTTAGCTTCAAACTTACTGCCTAGTCTTCAAACTAACTAAATCAATTACTAACAAGATCATTCATGGACCTGAGAGAGCATCAATTACCTTATGTAACCGTAGCTGCTTATGGTGGCACCGCAATTAAACACCAAAACTTCCTTTGGTTCCTTCTCGTTTCTCCCTTTGTCTCTCGCTCTCTTTCTCCTTCCTTGTTTTTCTTTCTTTTTTTTTTTGTTTGGTTTCTGTTTTGGTTTTAATCCTTATCCTCGCGAATCCATTTGGCTTGCCATCTTATAGTAACGAGACAATTAAAAGTTCTTTTAGTCGGTTAACCGGAGCCTTCTTAAATCAGTTTATCTTTTAAGCTTTTATTTTGGTCTCCATTCTAGGCTTATGTTCCACACACAACTTGGACAATGGGTAGTAGCAAATTAAGGTAAAGAGGCCAGCTCATGCTTAGTTTTCTACGTATATAAATTGATTATTATCTAAAAGCTTCTTGTGAGTTCTATTTAGTACTCCAAGCTTCAAGATGAACTCAATTTTGTCCGAGTCTACATACATTTCTATTAGTAATACTTACTCCACTTTTTTTTCTTTTTTTTTTTTCGGCATTCTCAAAAAAAATTGTCCTAGTTTATCAAATGTGTCCATTTCAATTTTCTCTGCATCTATTAACCTAAAAGTATTAAATTTTCCTGTTTCTATTGTTGTTTTATTTATTTGTAAGTTTAATGCTAACCTAACTAACTTTCAATTTAATACAATTTTCATTATCTATCATGCTACTCGGGAATTATATGAAATATCAAGTAGGTTAAATCTCACAGCCGTCACAAAAACATTTAAGAGAGACAGTAAAGTAAAATTCTTAAAACAAGGTGGGGAACACGACAAATAATATGAAGCACCTAGTAACACATTGTAAGGTGTACCTAGTGGGGCATGTGTAACACACTTTCAAGTTAAGAAGTTGGTTTTTGTCTCTCTTTTTTCCTACATATACGCACGTATGAGAGATCACATTTACTTAATTTCTTGTATAAGAGGTGATAGGTACAAGAAAAATTGACAAGGAATGATGTGCCAACATCTAAACTATGTCCTAACCTTAAATGTATAAATCCTATTCGGAAAGTTTTAACAATAGATGAGTGAGATCATTTCCTTGTAATTTTTCTTTGTTATTTTTTCTTTGTACTTATCATTATTCTTCTTGTATTCCCTTTGTCCCCAAAAAATAGTTTTCATTAAATTTTGAAATTAATACAAATATGAAAATTTAATGTGTACTATTTTTTTGGATTAAGGAAGTAACCCACATCATCATGTGTGCGGGGAACTAAGTGAACATTGATCTTGTGAGGGACAATTCCGCCGGAAGTAACCCTCCACCACCGCCAGCAACTCCGCCAGCACCACCACCGCCAGGATGATCATCAACCACAGAATGGGGAATGAAAGAGTGAGGATCCATCCATCATCTCCTCCTTCTCTTTCAACGAACACCTTGTGATCACTTTCACTGAGCTACCACCATATGGAGTAGAAATTAATTAGGCTGAGAGAAAAAAGATTGCGACCAATGTCTCATATCGAGTTTTAAGCAATGCAGTTTGCTTCAGGAACAAAAAAGGAAAGTTCATCTTCATCCGTAATCTATTTCAATGCTCTTCGCGAAACCGGTCAAAATAAAAAGAAAATGAAATGCTGTAATAATATAGATAATAGGTTAGAAATTTTATGTTAATAATACAGGTACCTTTTTCAAAAAAAATCAAAGATAAGATACTATCAGTGTATTCTCGAGACATCGGGATGATGGGTACTGATGTCACAAACTTTAAAAAATGAAATAAAATAATTGCAATGATATTTTACAACACCCTGCAAATGATCCCCGTTCACACACTAAAGTTAATGGTTATTTTGAGACCAAACTAGACGAAATTATACCTGGTTAGAAAGGAAGTAGAGAGAAGTACGTGTATTGGATTTGTCAAATCCGAGAGTAGGGTGATTTCGGATTTTGGAAATCCGAAAATAGAGTAGATTCAGATTTTAGAAATTCGACGGATGTGTATTGGTGCGAAGTTGAAAAGAATTTTCAGATTTCCGAAATCCGACTTTCTAATATTAATTAAACTCTCGGATTTTAGAAATTCGATAAATAATGTATTTCTCTGCCCACAAAAAAGAAAAGGAAAAAATTTTGACTGTCTATTTAAAATTTAATTAATTTTTATTATCCAAATCACGTAACTAAATTTCTTGAAAAAATATCGTGAACACTAAAAAAGAAAATGTGTAATGTCTGGTGATAATGAATGTTTATGGATCTAAAGACCGTTGATCAGTACTACGCAGGTACTAATTCTTCCATTCGGGTAAAGCCCCCTGCCGGAGCCTGCGTCCAGAACGAGTTGGATTCTGTGATTCATGCTCTACTGGATGACCCCAATCGCAAGTTCATTTATGTTGAAATGGCAAGTCCCTTTTTGTCTAAATTGGTCAACTTTTAGTATTCCAATTTACTTTGGATGCTTTGTTAATTTCTGATGATTTTTATGTTACGTAATATGGACGATGATAGTGAACAATGCTTTTCTTTCCTTTTTTTTTTTTGGGGGATTAGATAGGCATTCTTCCAGCAGTGGTGGAACCAGCAATCTGACACTCTCAAGTCAAAAGTCAAAAAGCTTGTCAATTCTGGTCAGCTCGAATTCATGTAACCGAATCTAACATCATTTATTGTTACTGATCACTTACTCAGTGATCCTGATGGAATGAATTCGACTGATTGTTTTCTTTCTGTTTTGGTGCTTTCTTTCAGAAATGGAGGAATGTGTATTCATGATGAGGCAATCCCGCATTGCATTGACATGATTGATCAAACCACTCTTGGGCACCGTTTTATCTATCGCGAGTTCGGCCAGAGAGCTAGAGTTGGATGGCAGATCGGCCCTTTCGGTCATTCTGCAATCCAGGCTTATTTGCTTGGTGCGGAGGTATCTATCTCTGGCATCCATCTTAGTTTACTTTCACTATACATATCACCCTTGTCTTTGTCTCGACGACCATCACGGTCTTATGTATGTGACAACATTTACAATAGAACAAACCTTACTTTGCAGCTAGGATTTGACTCGCTGTTCTTTGCACTGATTGATTACCAAGATAGAACTAAACGGAAAAATAACAAGTTGCTTGAGGTCGTTTGGCGGGGATCTAAATCACTTGGCTCATCATCACAGGTCTCTTAGATCCTTGGAGTTTATTTTCTCCTTTTCTGTTTTTTATATTGCTTGTGGAAATAGCATTTTCACTTTAGCTAATACTTTGTGCACACAAAACTGCAAGTCTTCCTCTTCGACGTGGCTATAATCACCAATCTAATCTCAATATTTGGTAAATGTTCAATGTCAGATATTTACTGGGATATTCCTTGTCCATTATAACCCTTCGGATGGCTTCTCATTTGAAGTTAATGATATGTCCTCGCCAATTCAGGTGCTTTTCCATCATTGAAATAATTATATTAATGGCATTGAATTGCTATTCAGAGTATTTTTTATTGACTCCTTGCATGGAATGTCTGTGTGCAGGACGACCTCACCCTCTTTGACTATAATGTTGAAGAACGTGTCAACGGTTTCGTTCAAGCTGCTATGATACAGGTGATTTTCTATCAGCACACTACTACTAAATATTTGACACTTTTCCAGTATGATTATTTATCTGTGTCCGTGTGTGTAAATTCTCAGGCAAATGTAACCAGAACAAATCATATAATGTGGACTATGTGATCTTCTAGTTGCAAAATCGGAGAAACGAGTTAATATCGTGGCTGTCCCAAGATACAAAAATTTTCGTGCTTCGCTAAGAAATTTTTTTGGTTGTGAAGATCAAACAAATCGGTCCCCCTGGGTGTCCCTTGACGAAGCATGGATCTGCACGGTGTCTTCGGACAGGCGACGATGATGATCTAGGCGGCGGCGGACGGCTTAAAACCTGCAAGACAGAGCCTCGGGTGTCTCCCGAAAGTAGACTCTCTGATGCTTAAGTCAATAAAGGAATAGAAATAATAGAGAGAGAGGAATGTGTATCGTGTGTAGAAGGTGTAGAAGATAAGTAGAAGATGTGTATTATGAGAAACACACCACCTCTATATAAAGAGATGGTGTTACCTATTTCCTGAAACCCTAGCGGAATAGGTTTAGGCGGTGGCTTAATCTCCAAGTCACCTAATTCTAGGGCCAATAGGCACAGGGTTAATTTATGACTCGTCAAGTGCCTCTAGGAAGCCATATTCTTGAGACTTGATGAGAAGGATATGAGTAGCTGCGAGTGTTGATGTCTTCTCGTGGTGTTGCCCCAGTTTTCGGGTGTCACCTATAGAAAGATATAGAGAATATAATGCCTCGAGGAGCTCTTTGTGTTAGTGAGTTCCTGATTGGCAGGGGGAAGCCTGTGTATGCCGAATTAGGAGGATGGTGCCTAGATTCTCTTATTTGAAGGTGAGGAACCTGTATTCTCTTATTTGAAGGTGGGAAGCCTGTATTCTCGTATTTGAAAGTGAGAAGCCTGTATTCTCGTATTTGAAGGTGAGAAGCATGTATTCTCGTATTTGAAGGTGAGAAGCATGTATTCTCTTATTTGAAGGTGAGAAGCCTACATTGCCTGTTGTGCAGGTTTTTGTGGCTGTGCCTATCTAGTAGGTCTTCTTTGGCCGTTGCCCGTTTAGCAGGTCTTTGTGGGTCGTGCCCGTCGGGCAGGTCTTATTTAAGCCCGGTGTCCGTCTAGCGGGTCTTTCGGTTCCTTTCTGATGCGGGGTGGTCCCCAATGCCTGATTTGAAGGGTGGTGATATAAGTAATATGTTTATAACGAGAATAGCAGTTTATAGACTCAAGAAGGTGTTGCTTTGATTCCGAGAAGGTATTATTTGAGTAGATGAAAGTTGAGATATGTCTTCTCGAACACTTCGAATAGTAGTAAGGTGCTCGAGGAATGCTTGTCCCTTCGAGGAGTTGTATCTCTCGAAACTCCAATCTTCGAGATTGTCCCTTGCTAATCTACAAAATTTTAAAATCTTGAGGGACTAAATTATAATAATTAAGGATTAAGTGACAATTCTCAAATTAAGGAATTGTTCTCGGCTGAATATTTTGCCCTTTTGGAGAATTTTGAACTCCATGGACTGTTCTTCTCGATCAGCTGTGGAGCAAGTGCGGCTCCTCGAATTATTTGCGCAATCGAAAGCTTCTTTGTGCTACTTGTCGGCTGATGTCTTCTTGGCCAAACAAAGAAAATTTTTTACGTGATCTTCTAGTTGCAAAATCGGAGCAACGAATTAACACCGTGGCTGCCCAAAGATACAAAAAATTCCGTGCTACGCTAAGAAATTTTTTTGTTGTGAAGACCAAACAAATCAGTCCCACTGAGCGTACCACTTCGAAGAATGGATCTACACGGTGTCTTAGGACAGGCGGCGATGATGATCTAGGCGGCGACGGACGGCCTAAAACCTGCAAGACAGAGCCGATGCTTAAGTCAATAAAGGAATAAAGATAATAGAGAGAGGGATGTGTATCGTGTGTAGAAGGTGTAGAAGATATGTAAAAACTGTGTATTATGAGAGAGGCACCACCTCTTTATATAGAGGTGGTGTCACTTGTTTCCTGAAACCCTAGCAAAATAGGTTTAGGTGGTGGTTTAATTTTCAAGTAATCTAATCTTAGGCCTAATAGGCCTATGGTTAATTTATGACTCGTCAATCGAGATAATCTTACCATAAACACTTTGAAATAATCAACTGGTTTGGAACCTTTTATCCTGGATTAGTTTCATTGGATTTGGAATTTGCAGGAACTCGAAGATGGCAAATTACTGATTGGGCTGGCTCACCTATATGAGGTAGTCACTTCCAGTTTTTCTGAATTTTTTTTATGAATGAATGCCATGTTTTGATGGAATAAATCTATAATAGAAGGACAAATATTTGTCCTTTTGTATAAGATCTTAAACTTGTCCACATCAAAGGTGTTGAAAAATCCTCTTTGCATAGCACATTACGGGTTCATATTTCATCTGCGTTCCATTTCAATGTTTAATGCTCAATAGATTAGATGGACATAAGGAAGTCTATCGCATGCATCTTTATAAATAGCAATCTTTTTTGCACTCACTTGTTATCCAAGTCGTGGCACCATTAGGATTATTGATTTTGACACTTGGAGTAAAACTTTGTATAGTGGGTCGTGTTTGGATTCATGGGAAAAAAGATTGGAGAAGATGAAGACTATTCTGTCACACCAAATGTGGAACTCGGGAAGCTTTTCTCTGACCGTAAGGTATGATAAATCAAAAGCACTTTAGTTTGTCGTGTTGAATTAGTTTTTGAGACACCGAGTATCATTACAGGGTGGTGTATGTTTATGTCTTTGTCTTTGGGACGTCGCAGATAAGCAAGATTGCGGAAATGAATTTGTCAGCAAATCAAGAAAGAAGCGAGTGGAGAAGAAGAGACTTGATTGGAGGGCAAAAGAAGGGTGTAATGAGCAATAGAATGAAGATGGTTTGAATAGAAGAGGTGGACCTGTGGATGCAGAAAAGCTGTGGGTAGAATTGGGTCCAATGGAGATTCGGACATTTGTCGTTGAATTCGAACTTCTCAGAATGTTTGGTTCTTAGATTGAAATCTGGCTCTTGTTAAGAAACACTGAAGCTGTATTATTCAGAAAAGAAACAGAAGAATTGCGTCAATGTGCAAAAGACGTTACTCAATCCAAGTCCCTAGCCGAGCAAAAACCATATCCCACAGCCTAAGAGAACTTATACTAATATTTTCCTAGAGCTTTAGGAATCTAAATTGGAATTATATTACATTAGTTATAATCTTTCCGTATCAAAAAAATAACCTTTTTATATAGCAGAGGAAATAGTTAACTTACGTAGGTATATCGAACTTGTAGCACTTTAAAAGCTACAATATTGAGGATTCCAGAAGTACTTAAATTTAAAAACCGAGTAAGAAAAGCAAGCATAATGAATTATGAATTAAGACAGACCTTTAACTAGTGCAATTTTTTTTTAAAACTTTTTATATCCTCTCTTTTTTTTTTTTTTTCCTTCCTCATCATAGATGACAACCGAAATAGTAAAAAAAAAAAGCCTAGTGGCTGAAATCGCATTGAAGGAATATATGAGGAGAGCAGAAACTGTAAAAACCAAAATAATGTTGCAAATAATTAATCGATACAACAGAAATCACACAAAACACATCTAGTAGTTACCTCATAAAATAATAGTGGACATTGAGTTTTAAAATTTATACTAATTTGTAGCACAAATTTCTAAATTAAATGTTGATTTTTTTTTTTGTTGAATAGATAGCATATATTATTCCGTTAAAATGTAATTCATATCATTGTAACTTACAAAAATGTAGCTTTTCTTTTACTCCACAGAATATATTATCGCTTACATCATTGTATGGTTATGACTTATGAAATGTAAGACTATTAAATTTACACACATAATCATCCGGGCTGTAAAAAGAAATAAGCTAGTCTAAAACCAGGATCCCGCCAATAAAATAATGGAAACCAATTCGAAAATTTGAACACAATCTTGTACTTCATTGAGTTTTAAGTTTTGTACTGTTTTTAGTACAAATTTAGAAATTCAATGTGGACTATTTTTTCAGGACAAACTCAATGTGGATTATTTTTTTTGGGAAGGAGATATATAATGTCATAATCAAATGTGAATAATCTTAACCATGTTGAGGTTAAAATCTAAAAAATGACCTACTACAACTAAAAAGTAAAAACTATTCTTAGAAAAATTGGCCTATCTACCCAAAGCTTTACATGTGTTGTCAATTCACCCTATTCTTTTTCGGTTAGCCGATATTACCCTAAGCTATACAATCGTTAGCCAATTTTGTCCAATTTGTCAATTTCCGTTTAAATTAACGGAATTCTGTCATTTTTAATTATAAAAATACCCTAATAGTTTTAAAAATTATAAAAATGATCCCAAAAATTTGTAAAAATAACAACACAGTCTTTCTTCACTTTTTATTTAATTTTTCTATTTTCTTTTTCTTTTTACTATTTTTTCATAACTATACAAATATACTATATGATCTTTTAAAAAATAATTTTATTTTTAAACACTATTGTACCAATTTATAGATATGGATAGACAATAGTGATATTATTTTTTTAATCCTTTTTTTTAATTTAACGAATAAGATTTTTTGACTTAAAATTAATTTTTACAGAAAAAGTTAAAACATTTAGCATAGATTAAAAAATAATATCCTAGTATATTTTAATTTATTAAAAAATTAACTAAACAGACTATAGATTATATTATCCAATTAAAAAAATAATTAAACAAAAATATAGGGTACAATCTAGTGTTTAGGGTGTTGAGTTTCATGAGAGTAGATATAAGATTAATTCTCACCAAAGAATTTTTAACCGAGAGAGCGATTTTATCCACAATTAAACGGAGTCCACCAAAGCTGAGAGGGTTGAGTTGGATAGTCAGGTGTTTTAAGATGTGAGATGATTGTTGTTGTGTTCGAGGTCTCGATTCTCACTGGGGCAATTTATTTTTTTTTTAAAGGTGGAGTCCAGTACTTGAGTAGATTTTCATTAATTTTTTTTTTAAAATAAATACGACTTCCTGCTAAAGTTAAATATTTTAATATCTCAAAAAATTATCATAAAATATTAAACCCTCACAATGATAAGTATGCATATTTTTTTGTAAAATATTTTGTACCATTTTTGTAAATACCACAATTCTATATTCTTGTGTTGGGCCAATATAGAAACGAAATAAGTATTTTTTTTCTACTTTCTCATCTTTGGCCTTTCGAAGAAAATTTATATTTTTGTTTTAATTATTTTTTAATTTTATAATACAATATAAAGTCTGTTGAATTTGTAATACATTAAAGTATACCAATAAATTCTTTTTTTAATCTATGCTAAATGTTTTATTTTTTGTGCAAAATTAGTTTTAGTTAAATAATCTTATTGTTTAGATTGAAAAAAATAGATTAAAAAAATAGTATCATTATTGTTAAACCATATCATTAAAAACTTAATATGCTTATGTAAATCAAACATGACTTACAAATATGTAATATAAATTTGTACTTAGAGTTTAAAAATAAATAGTTTTTTTTAAAAGATCATATAGTATATTTTTGTAGTTATGAAAATTAGTAAAAATAAATAAAAAATAGAAAAAATTAAATAAAAAGTGAAAAAAGACTATTTTGTTATTTTTACAAATTTTTGGTGTTATTTTTATAATTTTTAAAACTATTATGGTGTTTTTGTAATTAAAACTAGCAGAATTCCGTTAATTTACACAGAAATTGACAAATTGGACAAAATCGGCTAACGATTGGATAGCTTAGGGTAATATCGGCTAATCGAAAAAGAATAGATAGAATTGACCATGCATGTAAATCTTTGGGTAGATCGACCAACTATTCTCACACCAAAAAAGAATAGATAGAATTGACAATGCATGTAAATTTTTTGGGTAGATCGACCAACTATTCTCACACCAACAAATAAGTTCAAAATAGTAAAATCCAAATTGGCATAACTAACAAGGTGAAGCAAGTATGTTTTAGGCTTGAAATGGGTCTGATTGTTAGGGCCCAGGGAAATTGGGCTAAAAGGAAAAGGAATAAGAAAAGGAGTGGCCCAAATTGAGAAGAGGAAGGAAAACGAGCGCCAACCGGAAGGAATTCAATCCAAAAACAGATTTGGGGCGCGGCATTTTTTTTCCCTCCTATAAATAGGAGGCACGAATTAGGGACGAGGGAGAGAAAGAAAGAAACGAAAGCAAATCCCTAAAAATCTATAGGTTTTTTCCTTTCTTGAACGCAGATCTGCAAAAGTAGTATTCTCCGGCCCAAAGATGATGAAGATCGGAGAGGTATGGGAAGAGTACGAGAGGCAGATTCACGAGAGCCGGGGTTATGAGGTCAAAGTTTACCCTACCGGCGGCGATTTCACTGAATCATCGAGATTTATGCCGTGGAATTTCGGCGGAGAACCCAATCCGTATGAACAATTCCTCCATGCCTCTCTTACCCCAACCCTCTAAGATTTGATTGATATGCGTAATGAATGCATTGATAATTGCTTCGCTAAAACCCATGAGGAAGAAGAACAGTACTATCTGTTTGGTGGGAGTGCGGATTGTATTAGGCACGTGACTTGAGCGTCGCCCTGGCCAGAATGTCTGGTATCTTATCTTCCTGGCTCGACCTAAATCTACCGGTGCCACCGCGGAATTCCAAACCTTTCAAGCACAGTATTTGTAGGGTTATCGACTTCCTCCTAGACAGGTAACTTTCTTGGAAACTCAAACATCTGCATTATGTCGACGAACAGAAGCTCAAAGATGACAACTTGGACAGCTTGCTTCCTTGCTGTCTCAACAAACAGCGGGATAACTGATTCTTCAGAACCTTAACAGCCAGCATGAGACCTCTTTAGTAAGCATACTCACACTATAAGTACTATTAGTAGTTAATGAATTCGTTGGGTTTTGAATGACTGTTTTGGTTAGAATCAACCTCCTAACTCCACCACTACCACCCGTATCTAGCTTCAGATATTTTTTTGCTATTGTTTGTTGGGTTAGAATGATTATTTCCTCAATTTACCACTTTGATTAGCACAAATCACAAGATGCAGGGATCACTGTATGGTTTTGTTGGTGTAATTTGATGATTATGAATCTGTTTTCATACGGGGATTCCATTTTATTTGTAATGGTAGGATATAAGTTCATAAAGAAAAACTAAGCATGTGTATGTTTGGATATTTCCTAGATGATGGATTTGTGCTGCAATGTCATAATTATTAAATTGTGCTGCGTCTGGCTGTGTTCTGTCTTCTATGGTTTCTTATCCTCTGGCAATTTATCCATTTTCGTGTTTGGTGCAGTTGAATTATAGAATAGCTCAGAAGTTTCTTTGGTTGAGGAATACAATGGGATGGCTATACTGGGTGTTGGCATTGTCATTTGACGTTGTCTGGTGCATATCCTAGCTTGAATCCCACAATCAGGAGAAGTGTCAGTGATGGGTGATTGGTGTTGGTTCTTCTGTTGTGCAGAAAGCGTTTTGTGTGTTATGCATTTTATTTATCTTGTTTCGTATATAGACTTATTCGAATTTCATGTCTTTATATTTTAAAACTGCAGCCTTAAATTATAGCTTGGTGACGAAAACACAAGCGTTTAGCAAATATTTGTATGTGGATAGCACAATTAGCAAATTGTTTTGGCAGAATCACCGCCTTTTATTATTTATTGTTCTGATGTTGGGCATGCAATTCGCAACTTTTTGCTGTTGTTTTTTTCTTCTTTTATTGATTAGGAAGCCAGAATCTCCATTAAACATCCCTTCGAAGTTATCCTTGATTTGGTTGGAGCTGGAAAAATGACCGATTTAATTTTAAAGTTTGGCGCTCTGGTCAATCTCATTCCAAAGTATTTTGTGATCGGAAGCATGAAATTGACCAGAATGTTAAATATTGGAATGAAATTGACTAACTTAAAATACTTTGGAAATGAAATTGACCAGAAAGCCAAATTTTATGATTAAAATAACCCATTTTTCTAGTTGGAGCGGTTGACAAAATCTGTTTGGGAAGTTCTGTCTTCCGGTTCTTAATATAAAGCATTTTGATTTGTTTCAGCTTTCACTTAGTACGTATTTTATATTGGAAAAGGAAATCTTAAAAATATATTTTTTTGTTTTGTCTTATGTTAGAATGTGTTTTTAATTGGTAAAAAAATCTTAAAAATATATTTAACATTCTTTGCGTTCTTTTGATTATTAGGAAATATTTTTAACATTTTTTTATCAATTAAAAATGAGTATTAGGTGAAATTTAGGACAAATCAAAATAACTTATCCGTCAACTAAGTAGACAATCATACCTTTTAAAAAAAAAGTAGACAATCATACAACAATTAATTTGTTCGTTAGATATCTATTTTATACTTTATTACTTATATGAAAATTATAAATAAGACTAAATGAAAAAGAGGTTGACATCATTTATTAAAGGTAAAGTTTAAAAATTGGTCCTTAATTTGCATTGAAATCCTAATTCGACTTATATTTTGAAAAATTTCTCCAAATTTAAAGTGACTTGTACGAATTTCTCCAAGTTTAAAATGACTTGTATTTTAAAATGGATGGAGTATTATGTATTTGAAAAGGTAGCGTAGGATCCGAACACCATAGTTCAATGAATATTAGCGCAACCGTCAGTAGTTATTAAGCCTAACCTTAAAAGACTCTAGAATTTAGGCGACATTCTGTAATGCTACAGCCAATTACAGGACGAAATAGAGAAAAAATCGGAGAGAATCGACGATTTCGGGGAAGAAATTAGGGTTCTATAAAAGGGAAAAATTTGGGGATCTGCCAAAATTAGAAAATCAATTCAACATAAAACTATTCCATAATAATATTTTTATCCCGTAAAGATTATATATGGTATGATGCTTTACGGTATTGCAAAACAGCCCATGTACTATTAATTTAAGGCAATTAGGTCCTCTACTTTTGTCAATCCATGACAAACCCCCCACTAAAAACAGTGTTTTCCCCAACACTGTCTTTACAAGGTTACAACTAGAAATTGAACAATAGGAAACTGGCACCAACGCCTTACCACTAGCATACTACTACGATGATCTTTACAAAGGAAATGAAACTAAATAATTTAACACTCAAGAAAACAGAATTAAGTAACATAGCAACTATAATTTAAGTAAACTTCTGACAGCTCTAAGCATCCACCATCAGAAACTTGGAACCAGCAACTTTACTCTTCAAGGGTTGCGCCACACTTGACGAACAAGAGTGAGATCACTCATATCCACCATGTCGCCATATCCGCAATGCATTTTCAGGAGCGTTTTGATTTTGCCATTTCTTCGCAAAGCTGCCCAAATTTGCAAACATGTCCCGACTTGAAATGTTCACCACACCTATGACATAAGTGATTGTTGGCTCGGTACTGGAACTCCTGAGGCAACATTATTTTCACATAATGGTTACCAGGTCCCTTGTAGCCATTCATTTTAAGTCCATTCCCATTCTTAGCCTCAAACATATTATCTTTGACCTTAACCAACTTATCAACAGGCTGACCATTTACTTTTTTCTCATTGTTTCCCCCAGGAGACTCACAGCCACCCTTCACACTGCCTGGGAAACTAAGGGGTGAATCACTCTGCCCAGAATCAGACCAAACTGAATTGCCATTGAAGGACAAAGATTGCTCTTGATTAGACCGCAATTTCAAAGGCAGAAGCTATATTCTTAAGGTGCCACATTCTTACAGCAGGTTTAAGCTCAGCCTTAAGACCACTTATGAAACAAGAAACGTAATAGGCATCATCAAATTGATAACCAAGCAACAAAAACCTAGAATGTAACTCCTCAAATTGTTCCTGATACTCAATTACACTACCAAGCTGAACTAATTTACTAAATTCTTCAATACAGTCCTGACCATTACTACTTCCAAAACGCTTAACCAATAATTCAGCAAATTCAACCCAAGTACTTACCATAAGCATGCTTAACACCTTGGTACCAGGTGTCCGCCTTGCCATCCAAGAACAGCTCTACTGAATCGACCAACTCAACTTCAGGGATGTGATGCATCTGAGAGTATTTACGAGCATTTCCGAAGCCAACTTTGCAGTTTGTCGCCTGTAAACACCGGTAGATCCAACCGGGGTTGCTGGTACCACTTGTAATTCTGGTGTGCCCCGTTGCGGTTGTCACCCTGGAATCCCCCAGAAGCTGTGAACTCCGGCGGGTGACTGTTCTGGCTGAAATTGCCGGCGCGTGTCTGGTGGTCAAAGTCCACATGCATTGGATTGACTGGAGAGCGTCGAGTTCTTTTCTCTAACACCGCCTTGAACATGGCTTGATGGCTTTCGGCCCCACCTTTTGCAAACGGCAGCCGATAAGGTACTGGAGAGGCCGGAGAAGTCACTTTTATTGCCGGCGCCTTCTTAGGGTTTCGTTGCTGCATCGTGTTGACCATGTCCAACATCCTTTCCATTGAAGCCGTTAATGAATCCACCTTCGATTCCAAGGATGTGAAATGCGATTTGAGATTTGAGAATTTCAACTCTAGGGTTTCAATTTGCACAGAGTGTGCATCACTGCTGGAATCCTTGACCGGTTTGTTAGCCGAAGCATGAGTTCTTGTCATTTTGCGGATTGAAATGAAGGTAAATGATTGGGAGGTTGAGGGTTTGTGGATTTCTTTTCCAGAGAGTATTGAACAAGAAATCAGAGTTAACTAAGCAGAAGAATAAAAATTGGGTCTAAAAAACGCCGAGTAAAGTCTAGCTCTGAGGCCAAATGTAATGCTATGGCCAATTAGAGGTCAAAACAGAGAAAAAATCGGAGAGAATCGACGTTTCAGGAAAGAAATTAGGGTTCTACGAAAGGGGGAAAATTGGGGATCTACCATAATTAGAAAATCAATTCAACATAAAACTATTCCATAATAATATTTTTACCCCGTAAAAGACTCTTCCATAATAATTAAAAAGACTTAGTCTGGCACATACCGCTATGCCGCTCTGCTAGCCCATCCCATGATTTTATTAATTCGGGCAATTGTCAAAGCATTCATGAGCACAAAAGCTGGCCCTGATCCCATAAGGCCAAAATCCACTCCACCTGGGTCGAATGGTGTGAGTTTCTCGAACCGGAATTCGACCAGATCTGGAGGGATGCCGGTCTCTATGAGTTGATTCAGTTCTGCAAATTTGGAGTTCCCTTTGATCCAGCACTAATCATTGCCGTTGCTCGCTTTTGGTCCTCTACTTCCAATGTTCTTTGTTTGCCTTGGGGAATGATGTCTCCTACACTGCTAGATATTTGCCTGATCACTGGCTTGCCGCCGGCGATCCCTATCTCGGTGGACATCAATCTGGAGCATGAAGAGGCTATAGATCTGGCTGCCAACAAGCAGAATCAATTTGGGCGCTTGATGGAGGCAGTCCGAGACACCGACCCAAACACTCAACATAAGACCTTTTTCGCTAAACAA